TTCTTCATTACCCATTTAAGCCGTCTCCAGCCATTATTAGCCTCAAAGTGGGTTCCTCGTCATCGAAAAGGATTTGTAAATTCACAGCCACATTTTTAGCAGAAATACTTTATTAAAATCTGCTTTTTTTATATACAAATGACTTAAAATGTTTACTAAAAGCTTGCCAAATTTCATAGAGGTACATTTAGTAAATTCAGAGTTCCAAAACATATTTACCTCCTTTTACATTTATAGCTATTACTTTACTGTCAGGTTTTCTTCCTTTGCCCATCTAAGCATTGGTCTGATTTTGTCTCGCTTGCTCCAGTTGTTTATACCTCACTCATTTGCCCTTGGTTATATTTGTCTCATGACACTCTCAATCTACATCAGTGCACCCTCTATCCTGGTACTGTATATAAGCACCTCATTCAGGTAATGTTATCACCTGTTTTTGACAAAGTGTTACTAATGGATTTCCCAGTGCTACGATCGTTTGGAGATACTTCGAATGTTCTTTGTGTTATTTAGTTGCTTTACATTTAAAAATAAACAATTTTTTTTCTGAATGTCCAGCTGGTTTTTGTTATGAATTCTCAAATTACTATTTCTGGCATGGAGGCCAATCAGGTCTCTCCTATCCCACCTCTGATATCTAGAATCATACAACAATCAAAGTTGGGGGAGTCACTCTTGGTTGAGACTGTCAGTGATCTTATTCGTAGTGTAATGGAGACATATATTCAGCTCTGTGGTGGTCCTTTGAGGCTGCAATTGAGGGTGAACCTTGACATTCTGAAGAGAATTTAGATGTGCTTTCTCCTGTGTCTTTTTTTAGTCTGTTGACTTTTCAGTCCCCCTGTGGGACAGTGGTGAGTTTATGGGCTTGCAGCTCATAAAACAAATTTACCTGACTAAATGTTGTTCCAGTCAGTTAATCAACACAGTTTTTAAATGACATACAAAACAAAAAGGAGGACACATTGGCATAAGCTGACTTTGATTCGTTTTTTTCAGTTTGTTCATCGAGTGTGTGATACTTTGAGTCTTTCCCCAGTTGCTTTTGAGCCTACTCTTTACTTGAGGGATGCAAGGTCTGGGAGAGAATGTTTAGTTTTCTATCCATCCATGGACATTGTGGTTCATGCAGAGAGGTTTACTTATAATTTTTCGTGACAGAACAGATATGCCTTATCCAACAAGGTTGTTGGAACTTCGTGATTTAGCCTACCACTGCCAGTTGGAAGCATATTCCGACTCGCAAATAATACATCTGCTTCTTGAATTTCGGGGTTTTATGGCAGAGTTTAAAGTTCACCTGAATATATTAATTTCATCAGCTTCCACAGAGCGTCTCAGTTTTGCTCCTATTCGAGGGTTCCGACCCCCTACATCAGCCTCTCAGTACGTTGGTACCCAGAATAGCTTCTGTATATATCCACAGATTCCACAGCTCAGTCAGATCACTGCCAGTGGAATTAGTGTTTATTGTATGCCTTCAGGGTTTATGGGGGCTAGGCTTCCAGTGTTTCTGGATGTATGGTACCCTTACCTACAGATCCAGGAGCACTAAAGATCCTTGAGTCAGATTTAGTCATTCAATTCACATCTTTACCATTATTATCCATCCAACCTGTAGGATTTCCATATCCCATAGCTCC